TAATTGGAATATAAGCTAAGATAGAAGCTTCCTTGTTCTTAGCACGTAATCTACTATTTATTCCGCTGATCTATTCAGGCCCCCTCCCACCTCCCTCATGAGCACTATTGGTGGCAGCCACTTTCCCCTTTGTATTAGTAGGATACTGATTTCCCAAGAGCTGCTCTGGTGATTTAAACTGTAGCACTAGTAAACTGCTAACTAAAAACGCAGAATGTCTCCACATCAGTGGCTTTTCATTATAAGACTTGCTGGTGCTGCTTCATCAAATCCCCTGGATATCACCTTTGGCAACTTTCCCCCTCCATTATCTAGTACTTCTTAACCATTTATTCAGATATGAGTAGCAAGACAGTTTAATAACCATTACTGTCATGGGATATTCAACATGGTGTAGTAGGCGGGTGGCCAGCCAGGTCTGGGTACAAGTCCTGTCTCTGACATACTGGCTGAGTGACTCCAGACCAATTACTTAACTTCTCCATGATTCCACACCTAAGACTCTAAATTGCTGACATGTTAACAATATGCATCGAAAGAGAGTGTTTTGCACACTAGGAGTTCCCTAAACTGATGAAGTCACAGGTCTGGACCCAGTTGCCCCACCAAAAATGTACCAGCCTCATGACTTATTAGCCATGTGACACCTCTGCAAACTTCAGCTTTCTCCTCTAGAAAATAAAGACACCAGGCTAACTGTCTTCTAAAGCCTCTTCCAGCTCTAAAACTATGATCCTATGATGGTGGTGAGATTTTGATAATGGTTATTATTGGAGAATAGATGTGGAGTAAAATAGTTTAAAAATATGATTCCATCATCATCATTATCGTCATCATCATCGTAACTAGCAAATAGTACTTTAAAAGTTTGCAAAGATCTTTACATTTATTCTCATTTGATTTCTTGGGGAAAGTATTTAAAAACCCAGTAAATATAAGATTCACAAAGCACTTTGTAAGCCATTAGATTCATGAAGCATTTTATGAACCTATATTACTTCATTTTCATAAGACTATGGGCATAGTAGATTTACTATACAGTATTAAGTCATAGTTCAGATTGAAAAATTGATGCAGAGATAAAGTGATTTGTCCTGAACCAACCACAGAACCATCCACAAGTGAAATGGTGACTAAAAATGCCTATTTCCATTAACTGCAGAAAGCTGCCTCCTCAAAATGCCCCAGTGTCTCACCAGAGCTGAAGGTGACCCTGAGTTCTTGGTGGCTATATCAACTGAGGGCAAGTTCTAGCAGGTTCTACCATGCTGAAAAGATTTCCAGTATGGCCCTAGCAACAGACCTGGTCTGTGTTCCAAAGACTGGTCTAGCTAAGGCCAGGGAGGCTGGCTCCAGTAGACTGGCCACTGGATAGTAAAGCATTTGGCCATGGGAAGCCAGGCGAGCAAAGAAAGCTGCCAAGTTGCTTCAGTCCTATTTAGTCCTATTCTACTTCTACAGCAATGGTGGCTGAATGAGAGAAAAGACAGAAGGTACTAAAGAATTACAGTTTTTAAACCCTCTACAAACTTCTACCTGACCACTGATACACTAAACAGGAAGCCTTGGTGTTGAAACACTGAGAGGATAAGGACAAGATTCATACAAGATTGGAAGGTGAGGCATGTATGGATTGCGATGGCCATACTTGGAGGATACAACCCAATTCAAGAAATCACAGTACCACCTGAGTATTTAACTGTAACATTTACAAAGGCCTTTTTTCTACACGTTAAAAACTCCTTGGTACCATCTCCAATTCTCTCCTGTTACACTCCAATCTCTGGTGATGACATGGACCCTCTCCTTCTCAAGGCCAACCCTTCTATGAGTACTCTGCATCCCATAACCCTCCATCTTCTCCAGCAGATTTATGCCCACTATCTTCCAATTTCTCTCTAATCTTCGATCTCTTGCAATCTACTGAGGTCCTTCACTGCATCCAACACAGAAGCCCAAAATCTCCTTCAGTCTAAAAAAACCCGAACCCCTACCATATCCACTGGGTATCTTCCTATATCTCACCTGTGTTTTATGCACAAACTCCTAGAAAAAAATATTTAACACCTACTACCTCTACTTACTCTCTTCTTAGTTCTCAGTCAGTTGCAATCTGGCTTCCAACCTCCTCACTCAATTAAAACTGCCCTTTCTAAAGTGGCCGAGTAATCCTGCAATTGCCACATTTGAGGACTCTTTTCTCAGTCCTCACCCTTCTTGAACTCTCTACAGCATATGACACTACTGACCATCCTGTCCTTCTGGATCATCTCACCTCTCTCTGGGTTTTGGTGACACTATTCTATCTTGGTTCTTCTCCCATCTCTCTGACTGCTCCTTCTCAGTCTCCACTACTGGTTCATCAGTGTAGCCTCCTCTCATCCTCCAAATCCCTCACCCCCATCAATATTGTCTGGGCTTATAGTATGTCAATCAGCACACCCAGCCACATCTTTTACCAAAACGAGGAACGTAGCCTCTTTTGGAGTCAGTGCTTCTTATACTCCGGCTAGCAGTCTTCACTCCAATTTAGTAAATTCATATTGCAGACCTAACTTTTTTTTTTATCATTGTTATAGAGAGTTACTCATAAGCACAGGTGTTAATATTTCCAGGTATTCAGTAAAGAGTATTTGCAATTTTATGATTTCAGAGAAGAGTCCCCTCTTCATCTATTCTCACAAAAACACTCAAAAGTCCACCTCAGTTTTTGAGTGTTTTGTTTTTTGTTTTTTGTTTTTTTTCGGTAAAATCAAAGCAAATGACATTACAGTGATGAACTTCTAATGGCTCTTTTAAAAATAAAGGCCTTATTGTTCTCTCTGCTCTAAGATGCTGGCACTCCTTTTAATAACCTCAATGAGACTCCCACCATGAAGGACCATTTTATTTTCACAGAACACAGAATGATAGAGCACAAATGAAAAAGCTATAGTGTAGAGGTGACGTGGCCTGCCAAAGATCACATAGTAAGTTAGTGGTGAAGCCAGACCTAGGACCTAGCTCTCAACTCCTAGGAAAGTGCTTTTTCCCTTGTCATTTTATTTCCTTTCCATTTAACTCTTGGTGGGAAGTTCTTCTGTCCTAGATACATTACCATTTTAGGACACAAAGGCTCTAGCTTCCTACCTGTCTGCCTGCTCCTTCTTCTGTGTCCTTTGTCAGCTTATCATTCACATCACAGCACCTAACTGCAGGTGTCTCTATTCTCATCTCCCTCTGTACTGTCTCTCCCAGTAATCACTTTAGGCATCATTGCAATACAGATGACTCCCAGATCTATATGTAATGTCCCAAAAGTCTTAGGGAAGGGTTGAGCTATTAAGACAAATAGTTTAAACCTGCCCTAAGAGTTCTGGGAAACCCCGTATATTCAGCCTCAGTCTCTCCCCTGAGCTTTAGTCCTATATCAGCAGGTGCCTAGTGGGAATTTCAAACTGGATAGAGCAGAGACATCTCAAACTCGACATGTCCCCACCCTCCCTCGCCCCACATATCAAATCAGTTGCCAAATCTTATTATTTCTATCTTCACACTATCTCTCACATCTGAGCACTTCTCTCTACTCACACAGGTACCACCCCTCACCTCCCACCTGGTTCCCTGACTCAAGACTTTTACCACTCCAGTAAACATTTTCCTTAAGTGCAGATCTGACTTTACCACTCCCCTGTTCAATCAACTCTAGTGACTCTTTAATACATACAGGTTCCAATAGAAGCACCTTCTTTCACTTCTGAAGTCCTGCACAACCCATCTCCAACCTCGCTTCCTCACTGGAAATGACTCCCTTTCCCACATTCTACAGTCCAGGCAAACTCTCTCTTCCTCCTTTTTCCAGGCCTTTGTGCTAGCCACCACCCGTGCCTGGAATACATTCCCTCTTTACCTCTGTCTCATAGTCTCTCTCTTCCTTTAAGATGCAGTTTAAGCATCATCTTCTGTATGAAGCCTTTCCTCATCCCTCCAAACTGCTAATGCCCTCCCTGCCCAACTACCTTGTATAAGAGTTTATTAATGTTATATTTATGCTGCATATATTTATCTACGAACTCCCCCCCATCAGAATGGAAAGTTCTACCAAATAGGAATTGGTTCATTCTCTGCGCTATCCTCGAAGCCTGGCACAGGGCCTACCACATGATAGACACTTGGTAAGTACGTCGCAATTGCTTGATTGATTGCATGGATCACCCTTCTACCAGGACGTTCACAACAGAGAAGACAGTGGAGAACTTCTTAGAGGGAGACTTCTTAGAGGGAGAATGGCAATAAATAGTTTGGCTGGGTACGAGAAAAGAAGGATTGAGTTTGAGCAAACACCTGAAACTGTTATTTGACTTATTCTTCTCTTCCCTGCCAGATCACTAGTATGGCTCTATTTAAACTACCCTAATAACCAAGGGACAATAAGATACTTTTAATGATCCACCATTATTTGAAGCGAAAGGAGCATTAAGTTGATCTAGATTTGTATTATGAAAGTGAGTTTCAATGTTTCACCTATTTGTCAAGGAGAAAAAAGAAGAAGAAAGCAGACATCTACATTTTTGCAAGCAGTGGCTACCCAGGCAAACTCCCTGGTTCTCACCTCAGCATTGCAATGCCTGGGACTCCAAGTGAGCATCTTTGTGCTCTGAAGCTTCTAACACTGCCAAGGAGTATATTTCATTGGAATTGCCATTCTTTAGAGCGTGTTAGTGATGATCATTGCTTTATTTCCTGAAATTTATAAGGCCTGCAACACAGATACTGGTTTTTCTATCCTCCTCTGTTAGCTAGCACTATGGGAGAGAGACAGTGGAGCTAAGTTCCAGGGCTTCTCCACAGAACAGATACAAGCCAGGGAGGGGCATCCAGCTGGCTTTCCCTGTTGGAAAGGCCTCCATGGCCAAGAAGACAGTGCTGAGGTTAGGGACTTTTGTCCTACTGACACTTTTCTGAAGTTATGACCCTGCTACAGATTTAGTATTGCCATCCCCTGCTCCCCAGAATCTTACCCCAACTTCACTTTTGTGGGTCACAGCACCATTTTCGGATAATAACAATTGCAAGTTGTTGCCAAGCTGAGTGAGGACAGGAGAACTCCAGAGACACCTGTGAGAAAAGAAAATCTCCTTACCAAAGGACTCAATCTTCTGGGTGATCATTCACGTTGGCCATGTGATTCCAAATGATGATTGATGGACCTTAATAAGAAGTTGTATAAAATAGATTTACAGTTTCATGTGCAATCATTTTTTCATTATTCTATTATGTTATGGAAATGTTTGTTTTATTTCATAAATTAAAAATAAAATAAAAATTTTAAAAAAGGACCACTGGATTTTAACAAGTTGGTTAAGGACCTCCTAACCTTCACCTCATGGAAACATTATCTTCCTTCAAGGTGCATGCAGCTCATGCACCACTTTCTACATGATGACTTTCCTGGTCCCCTCAACTGTTAGTGACCTTCTCAAACTACCTTATATTGAACTGTTTTATATATATTTCCTTTAGCTTTATTCTACATATGCTTATATATGTCCTTGTTGCTTCCCCCATTAAGACGTAAGCTCTTTATTTTCTTCATTGCATTTGTATTCCAAGTGCCCATGACTACATCCGCCATACAGTAGGCTCCTACCATATGCTTGTTGGCCCACTGATGTCCTTAGCAGTCAGCCAGTCCAAGTCCCACACAAAAGGAATCCCCATGACCAAACACCCAAAAGGCAGTCCTCTAGCCTGTCTTTGGAAGCCTCCAAGGAGGGGGAACCCGCTACCTCACAAAGCAGCCCATTGTACTTTGGGACAGATCTCATTTTTAGGAAGTTTTTCCTGACTTCAAACCTAAATCTGCCTCTTTGCAACTTCCATTCCTCACTCCTTATTCTACCTTCTGAGGCCAAACAGAGCAAGTCAAATTCTTCCTTCACATGATCGCCCTTTGGAAACTTGAAGATGGTTCACATGTTCCCCCTGAGTCTTTTCTTCTCCAGGCTAAACATGCCCAATTCCATCAATCCATCAACACAGAGTGAAAAATAGCAGCCACATCTCTGGGATATTCCCCATTGGCCCTGGGATGGTTAGCTCATTTCTCTGGAGCTGTTTAGATTTTCTGTTGTATCTGTTATAAATACTGGCTTCCTCAAGGCAGAGTATCAGGCAGATAAAGCACGGACCAGAATATAGGGAAGGAAACAGACCGAGGGATCCAACTTTGTGACTCTTGATGCACATGACTGCATTTCTCCCTTCTGAAGTAGCAGGGAGGAGGTGATTAAGTAATCAGCGCCATGGCCTCAGAGGAATATACATCCCTGAAGCTGCTCCTCAGGACCATGCTCACTAGGCTTTGGTGCTGCAAACTGGAAACTGCATTGCAGTGTCCTAGATAAGGCAGGTAACATCAAATCCATTTCAACTTCCACTGTGGGCAGATGGAGTTCAATTGAGAGAATATAGTTGCCCTTTACTTCCTCAATTATAGGCTAATAAAAAAATGTTTTCCCCCACATAAAAATGTCACCAGAGACTTGACACTGCAATTTCTCTCAAAAGGGCCCTTCCAATCTGGCAAATGCACAAAAAACCAAGTTGATAATGCTTTTAATAAAGGTCTGCCTAGGTCAGAATGTGGTCTAATAAGAAAACTTGAAGCATTTGGGGATTAATCAAATGAATGGAGAAGGGCAACCTAAGATCACTGCCTGCTATGTTACTTTGTGATGTTCCTTTAGGCAGAAGGAAAGTAACTAATTGACCTGACCATGTTCTGCCTTTGACTCTGAAGGTCTAACAGCACGCTGAAGGCTACTAATTTTTAAAAAACAAATTGAAGGGAGAAGAGATGAGGAAATGTTCTCACGTTTTGTTGGAGAAGTAGGAAACTATGGTTGTGGAATGTTACATGGCAAATGCAGGTGACCTCTCAGTTGGGTTTGCTTAACTGCTTTGTTAGCTTTGCCTCCCCCTACTTTGTTACAAGGGAAGGTTCGTTTTGTGTGTGTGTGTGTGTGTGTGTGTGTGTGTGTGTGTGTGTGTGTGTGTGTTAGGGGCCGAGGTAAGGGAGGGATATACAGAAATGACTGTGATAAAAAACAAAAGACATTACTAAAACTTAATTTAAAGGAAAAAAAGCAATGTTGGGTGAAGGCCAAAATCCTAGCCTATAGATTTGAGGTTGTATGACAAGAGTTACACAGGATGAGTATATGTACTGTGGTGATAGAGGTTGCAGTCTCTCTCCCTGGAAGGAATACCCATCTCTATGATCACAAATCTATTTGAGTGTTTCAGTATATCTTGCCTTGAAAAGTAGTGTCACATAGTGTATAATCTGCTAGATTTGACATCATAAAGACCCAGGTTCACATCTCACACCTGGCATTTACTACCTATATAACTGTTGGAAATTCATTTGACCTCTCTGAACCTCAGGCAAATCTCCAAGATTATAGATTATAGATAAATTGCCATCTCCATCAGTAGAGGGAGTTCCCACATGAACAAAACCACAGGGCAATGATGTATTGATGTGCATCTTCCCCAACTAAGGTCTAAGCTTCTTAAGCACCAGCAAGTATAAGAATAAAGTATTTATGTGGTACATATTTGGTGTTCAATATTGAGCTTGGTGCCAAGGAAAGGTAGCGATACAAAAAAGCTTAAGGCATAGGCTGTATCCTCAAGGTGTTTACAATCTACTTGCTTCTACTTCTTACTAGCTGTATACAGATAGAACTTAGACTAAGACTTGGACTTAGAACTTAGACTAAGCTGCTTGGGGCTTCAATTTCCTTGTGTAAAATGAGCAGGTTGGGATTAGATGATCTCCAAGGTATCCTCCATCATTTTTTTAAGCCCTATGGTACCCAACACAATACTAAGCACATTGTACATACTCTTAAAATGCTTTTTGATATTAAAAATTAATGGCTTGCTCCCTGACATGAAACTCAGTCTTTTTAATATCATCATTCTCCTGGTCATGCTATGCGCCTTCAAATCACGGAACATTAAAATCTCATAAGAATCACTTAAAACAAAGGTTCACATAGAATTCAAATGAGGAGTAAGAATAGTATCTATCATGATTCATCTAGCCTCCCTTTGGCATTCTGATAATCATGATCTCACACAAGCAAGACAACAATAAAAACAGAAATGGTTAAAAGATATGATTAACAGAATGTAAGGAGGGAATTGTGGGAAGATGGCAGAATAAGACAAAAAATTACCTGGCTCTCTCAAATCGCCCCACAAATAAAATAATGTCTCAAAGTAAACTTTAGAGGAGCAGAATTCATTAAAAGGTGGGGTAAAGCAGTCATCCAGCCTAACACAGCTTGGGAGACTTTGGCAAAGTTCTGACCTCCTCCAATGGGGGTGTGCCTTCCTGAAGTGCAAACAGGCCCTGGGGCAGCTGTACGGGCCGCAGCCTCAGCTTCGGGAACTTCCACCCCACTGACAATGTGGGGGTTGGGTGGCTGCTCAGGTGAAGACTCCGGGGCCCTCTGCTCACTGGTGCTGGACGAAAGGCCCAGGCTCGTTGACTAGGCGGGGGCCCAGGCTGTGGCTGCCCAGGAGGAGGAGTGAGCATGCGCCAGCGAATGTGTAGAGGGGCGGGGCCCTGCTGCCTGTGGGCAGTGCAGGAGAGGGAAGGCCTGGTTCCCGGTTCCGGTTCCGGATCAGAGGGGTGAGCTGAGGCTTGCTGCTCCCTGAGGCCCCACAGAGAACAAGGGCATGCCTGTGGTGTTGGAGGTCCTAGTCAGGGCTGAGGAGGCAGAGAGCAGTACCTGAGGTCATTCATACCAAGGCCGGAGGTCGAGGAGCGGGGACCACACTTGGCCATGGATTATAGACCACTGAAAGCACCAAGGGGTCAAAGGACCCCAGAGAGAGGTCAGAAAGCAACAGCAAGAAAAACCTGAAGCCTGAGCCCTACACCCTGGCAGCAGAGCCTGACTCTGCATAAAGCTGACAGCCAAGAAATAAGCCATTAAAAATGAGTAAACAATGGAGAAAGAACCCAACCCTACATAGTTACTACGGTGATAGGGAAGATCAGAGTTCAAATTCAGGAGACAAACCAGCTTCTTATAAAGCTTCCAAGAAAAGTGTAAGATGGTCACAAGCCCCAAAAGAGTTTTTGGAAGAGCTTAAAACGGACTTTAAAAATCAAATAAGAGGGGTTGGGGAAAAATTGGGAAGAGAACTAAGAGTAATGCAAAAAAGCAAGAAAATTATGAAAAGAAAGTCAACAAATTAGAAGAGATCTAAAAATTTAATGAATAATTCCTTAAAAATCAGAATTGACCAAAGGGAAGCTAATGACTTCATAAGACATCAAGAAATAATAAAATAGGGGCAGCTAGGTGGCACAGTGGATAGAGCTCCGGCCTTAGAGTCAGGAGAATCTAACTTCAAATCCATCCTCAGACACATAACACTAGCTGTGTGACCCTGGGCAAGTCACTTAACCCCGACTACCCATCAAAAAAAAAAAAGAAATAATAAAACAATCAAAAGTATGAAAAAAGAGAAGAGAATATGAAATATCTCATTAGAAAAAGATCTGACCTGGAAAACTGATTGAGGAGAGATTATATAAGAATTATTGGACTACCTAAAAGTTACAATCAGAAAAAGAGTCTAGACAATATACTTCAAGAATTTATTAAGGAAAATTGCTCTGAAGTTCTAGCACTAGAGGGTAAAGTAGAAATTGAAAAAAATCCACTAACCACCACCTGAAAGAGATGCTAAAATGAAAACTCACAGGAACATTTTCCTAAATTTCAAAGTTCTCAGGTCAAGGACAAAAAGTTACAAGCAACTAGAAAGAAACAATTTAAATACTGTGGAATTACAGTCAGGATAATACAAGATTTAGTAGCTTCTACCTTAAAACACTGAAGGGCATGGAATATAATATTCCAAAGAGGAAAGGAGCTGGCTTTGCAACCAAGAATAACCTACCCAGCAAAGCTGAGTGTTAAAAAATGGAGATTTAATGAACTAAAGGACTTTCAGGTATCCTGAAAAGCCCAGAACTGAATAGAAATTTGACTTACAAGAACCACGAGAAACATA